AAAAATGAATAACCATACAAAATATAGCAACATAAGCATTGTATTGTGCCAAGAATATGTTTTCAATGCATAGAAAAGACATAATTGTTTGAAAGGAGATCAAACTAGTTAAAGTGAAAAGTACTAAATCATCTTACTCAAAGGAGTCCACATATTCACATAACATCTCAATGCTGGTGGCAAAACTTGCTTCCATGCATCAAGATCTGGCAGATAGCCCGTTAGAGCAATAGAGCTATCTTCCTTTCTGTTCCCAAGATTCAGAACAAACACTTGGTCTGCAAAAACACAATGCATTGATTTCAAAGTTTCTTCCATAACCAACTTCCCATCTCTTTGCAAATCTTCGGATTCCACGCAACTCCCACCTACATTCACCATAATTCTCCCTCCTTTCTTCAATCTCTTCTTCAACTTCTCCCATGTGCTTCTATCTTGAAGCTCAGGAATCAAACTACCTTTACAGAACAAATCAACCAAAATGCCTGCAAATCCATCTACAACATTAGCTTCCAATGCATCTCCTATATAAACAAAAAGTCTACCAAGGTTTTCTTTTTCGAGCTTTGAAAGATCGAAAAACTCTCTACCAATTGAAATAACAGAAGGATCAAGTTCCCATCCATGAATACTAACTTGAGGGTATAACTCTAAAATCAAATAAGCAGCAGAACCAGCTCCAAACCCAAGAATTCCTAAAGGACCAGGAGGTATAATGGATGGGAATGTTGCGAAAACATCGAAATAAGTTTTGGTAAATTGTTTGAAAAGGAAAGAAATGCTATGAATATTCCCTGGTTTATCTAATAAAAGAAGTCTAGAACCTGCAAATGGATGATCAGCTCTTCTTGAAACTTCTATAACTCTTATATGATTGTATTTCGATTTAAATTTCGCAAGAACTTTAACATGATCAGAAGGAATTCCATCTTCTTGTGAGTTGTTTTGAGTTTGAGTAAGATGATTTTCTCGAGATTTAGCTGCTAATATTTGAAATTGAGTTGAAATTGGAGTGATTTTATGAGGAAAGTTCATAACTTTCTGGTAAGTTGAAGAGAAAAGGCGGGAAATTTGAAATGGATATATGTTTAACGGTCGAATTTGATGTGGAAGAGATGACATAGCTTCTTCTCCGACCAAACTCTTTCGTTTTCACGCTTCAGTTCAGTAGCTCTTAGAGTGAGGTGGGAGGTACAGAGATGGGTATATGTTAACGTAGGCCCACACTCGATCCAAAGTCCGGCCCATTATATGAGCCCATATAGACCTTGGGGATTCTGGAGAAGAAGTAGAAAGGTTTCTCTCATTTGAAGGAGGAGGAAGAAGAAGAAGA